TTGTTAATCAAAACACCATATTTTCAGTATTTCATAAGGGTCTCAGGTTTTAGTAGTAAGAAGATTTACTTTTACATGCCCTTACTTTTCTGCTGCAGGCACGCAAAATTTATATTCAACCAATTTGGAATAGGTATACCGTAGATATACATTCATGTATATTACCGGAATATTGGTTTTAAACATACTAGGTATATTCACCTGCACATATACACAATATGTACATACCTGGCATGTTCATCTGCACATATACCCAATATGTACATATATGTACATACCTAGGATATACTTTTTATGAACTTTGATGAATATACATGCATGTGTATTCCACGAACATTCATGTTAGAAATGTTCAACCATGTATATTCCCAGGATATTCCCGCAATGTTCTGTATATTTTTTGAACATTCTGGGATATTCATAGAATATCAAATGCTATCTGGGCATTATATCAAGCTTTAAAATGCCCCGAAGTGAAAAGCACTTACCTCCCATCGTCGCTTAAAACTTCAGGGTTGTTATTGAAGTGCCACAGCACCTTGATAGCTTCTTTATAGGCACAGTGAAAGAAGGCGGTATGCCCTTTACGTACAGTTTGGTCAGTTGGGATGCTCTGGATGTGTAGTGACTGGTCTCCTGAAAGGGCATTTTTTTACTTGCCGGAATCCTCCCAGTTTGCCGGTTGATTGAATATTTACCTTCAACAGCCAGAACAAAACGGTTCACGCTTTTCCTTGATCCAGCCGAATTTCGGGCTTGACATCTGTAAACCCCATTAGAAGAGCTTTGAATCTTCGTTAAAAACAGTTCTCGCCCCTTTACCACATCTCGCTCAGTATTGACCAAGTCGTCTTTCGATAAATGCTTCTCATTGCTGGAAATGTCCACATTTTTAACAACAGTAACGATAGAAAATATCGCATCAGTCCTAATGAGTTTTTTCCAGTCTTTAAAGGGATAGCAGGAAACATGTGTAACTTTCATAAGTTCTGGTCGATTTTTTTGGAACGCACATTTCACACAACAAAAGCCATAGATAGACACCAGAATGTTGTTGAATTCTGATGAATTTTCATTTATCTCTGGAAAATGGTTGGAAATATCGTCAGGCTCTTATCGAAAGGTTATTTAATGAGGAAAGTTTTGGGCCAAAAAAGATGCAAATCGAAATAGGGGTTTGCCCCGTTCCAGGCCTCTGAAAGTTTAAAACGGTATATTTGCGAAACGGTCAAATATATCGGGATCAGGGGTAATAGTAATAATCATTTCGATAGCGCTCTTCGATAACTATCTTTTTATCTTTAATCACGAATTTCTAAGTATTTTGGGGGCTTTCGAAGAAGGCCATTTAGTTCTCTCTGAAATGATGTACAGATGAGCTTTCTTGATGAGCTATTTTGCTCTCGAGAAATGCGCAAAAACGGGACGGAAAACATGAAATTTTGGCATAATCTTTGCACCAAAGTGTCTGAAATTCAAATTTCGCTTTCTGTGTCAAAACTACTCGAATTTCCCYACTCAWSTGCTCGAKCGAATTTTCAATTCTCTATCCAACGATGCCAAAACAAATTCTGTGGCTCAAATGGATCTTTTTCAGATCCGAAATAATAKACATTTTCGACAYATTTTAAGCGTTTCTTRAACGTTCACGATATTTAACCGACGATTTCTTCCTTATTATTGACCCAAACGATTTGTAAATGCATATTTATGGCCTTCTTACGTCGAAATGAATCGATTGATCTCAAAAAACACTCATGTGAAATTTTGATTTTTGGCCGAAATTTTTGTAAGGGTTGAGGTCGATTTTTTGAAAAAATGAAAATTTTTTCAAAATGTCCAAAATTTTACATCATTTTGATCTCAGGGACGCGAGAAATGCATCGAACTCATTGAAAAACATGCTAGAAGTTTCAGATCCGAAATAATAGATATTTTCGGCACATTTAAGTGTTTTTTGAGCGTTCACGATCTTTAACCGATGATTTATTCCTTATTATTGACGCAAACACTTTATAAATGCATATTTGTGACCTTCTTACCTCGAAAGGAATTGATTGAGCTCAAAAAACACACATGTGAAATTCTTATTTTTGGTCGAAATTTTTCTAAGGGTGGAGGTCGATTTTTTGAAGAAACTAAAATTTTCTCAAAACGCCATAAATTTTACATCATTTTCAGCGCACGGACGCGACGAATGCATCAAACTCATTGAAAAACATGCTAGACTAGAAATAATAGACATTTTCGGCACATTTTAAGCGTTTTTGAGCATTCACGATCTATAACTGACGATTTATTCCTTATTATTGAACCAAACGATTTGTAAATGCATATTTGTGATCTTCTTACGTCAAAAAGAATCGATTGAGCCCAAAAAACACGCACGTGAAATTTTGATTTTTGGCCGAAATTTTTCTAAGGGTCGATTTTCTGGAAAAATGAAAATTTTCTCAAAATTGTCGGTACATTTAAGCTACTCGAATTTTCAATTCTCGATCCAACGATGCCATCGAATTCTGTCTGTGACTCAAATAGTTCTGGAGAAACTTCTAAAATGAGTCTCGAATGGCTCAAGAAAAAGGGACAATTAAAAATGCAAATTACTCAGAAGACCTGAGGCTCTGACACAACAAATCTCAATGTTTAACCACGAAAAGACAATCAACTTTCCGGGTTGATTCAATCAGAAGGCGGTGATCTGGACAAAGCCACTTCAAACATTCGCAAAATGTGTACAATGCCAGACCATCGAATAATTCTGTTAGACTCTTAGCCGAAAATTTAACCCCGACATTGGGGTGTAAACGATATCTCCGCCGGAACAAAACCCATGAGGGTGGCACACCCCCTTCGACCCAAAATCCACCCTTGTTTTGCTTATTTAGTTTGGGTTTAGAGGGGTATTTAACCGGCCCTGTTATGGCTGCCAGTGTTTATTTACTTATCCGAAAGCTACTTAATGTAAATTTTTCCATCTAATGTTGGACTCACTGGAACCACTCATAGTCTACATCCCCCGAAGCTTCCAACTGGCAGTCCAGTACCACTGTATCTCCAAAACGGATTTTCGTAGCGTTATCGGGTTTCACAAGAACCACCGTGGGGTCTTCGATAACTGCAATGAAATAAAACAATATTTAAAAAATCTACTAAATAAATTGCGAATGAGGAATTTTAAGAAGGGTAAATTTATTTCGAGTTGCGACAGTCGGCAGGCTTTTGAGTAATTACTGGCAACCGTTCATTATATGAGACAAGCACGGAAAGGGGATTATAAATGATGAAAAGCCGGGAATATTGAATAAAATGCTACAAGTTGTGGATTATTTTTTTTTGGTGTAGTCATCAGGCCTTGATTGCCGAGCCGGTTAATGAATTTCGTTCTCGGAAAACTTCTCACGCATGGAATCATTAAAATTAACGGTGTATTGAAAAAGCACAGTGCAATTTTAAAATACTCAGCCGAGACAAGGGCTCTTCCGTTCGTACAATGGAGCGCGATATTTTTCCATTAGTCACGGGAGTCACACTTCATCATCGTGTTTCTTCCGACGTTTTCTCGATGTTTACAACTTCCGTAAATTGCGATTTTATAATAATTGTTATGCTAAAAGATGGAAATGGCACATGTTCTTCATTGTTCATAATCGCTAATGTTCAACTCTGTCTTTCAACGATATTACAATAAAATGTTCAAACATTACAGATATGCAAGTGATTTTTCTCATCAACCAGTGCTCGTTACTTGTTAAAGCTTCGTTATTTTGGAGTTTTTCTCGGTTTTATAGATGATCAACCACTGTATAAAGATTGTCCCCCAATGATTGGAAAATAATCCAATATGGGGGAAACAACGGGGTGAACTTCACGTTTGTATCAGTCTTAAGCTGCAGATTATCAAACGGTAATTTTTTTAGAACACAGTGCATCTGTAGAGAGCGTCGTAAAAATTTGGAGCGTGTTCATTTCAGCACTCTGTATAACGTTGAAAGGCCGATTTTCTAAAGAACTTCTCGGTGTTTAAATCAAGTTAAATAAGCGCAAAACTTGTTGACTGCTTTTGACCTAAAGAGCTTCCTAGTTATGCAAATTTACGGTGTTCGGGGCATTTTGAGAAATTTGATTTTTTCGAAAACATCAACCTCCTCTTTTATGAAAGTTTGGGCACAAATTAAACATTTTACAAGCGAGGTTTTCACTGCTTTCCACCTAATGAGCTTCCAAACTAGGCAAATTAACGGTGTTTGGAGCATTTTGAGAAATTATATTTTTTCGAGAACATCGACCATGAAACCGACCTTTTGAAATTTTCAAAAAAAATTAACGTGCGAGTTGTTTTATTGCTTTCAACCTCAGGAGCTCCAAAATTGTGCAAATTTACGGCGTTTGAATTTGTTTTTTTCTAAAACATCGGCTCCTCTTTTATGAAATTTTGGGCAAAAGAATAAAAAAATGTATTGGGAGTTTTTTTTAAATATTTCAATGGGAACCACTCACTCTGTACATGATGATTTTTGTATTATATTCCCATTGGTCTGTATGTGGATTATGCATTTTCCATTCCATTCTTCCAAGTCGGGTATAAAAAATCGTCCAAGAAAATCCGGATCGTGTGTCGAATTGTTGATGAAAAGAGTGATTCCGTTTTTAGGTCAAATGCAAATTCAAAAGGGGGAAACAGCTATCCGCTGGAGACTTATTGGGGACCAAAAGACAGTTAGATTGGAATTATGTAAAATTCGAAAACAGTCGTCAACTGAGACGCGTTTTTCTCTCCCCGACTCTCCGAGGCTCATGTTTTACACACATCAGTGTTTACCGGTATGAGCTGCTTCTTCACTTAGCTAATTCTCTGGTGGTGCAGGTTGGAAAGCGTTTATGACTATTTTAGTAGGTGTTAACAGCTTCTGCACTCTGTCAATTTTACGACGTTTCTTTATTTTAGATGCTTGTAATAACGCGTTTGGGCTTCAGTGTTTGATCTCGTTAAACAGGCGAGGAAAATCGGCTGTTTACCGCCTGGTTTAGCTAGTTTCTACGGCTTTAATCGGGTTTGAGGTGTCCCACCAAAGACTGATGGTATTTCCTGATGTGTTTTTGCAAAAAAATTGTGAATTCGCAATACGTGCAATAAATATCAGCCCTTGGGCTGCTTGATTAATAGAATTGTCCTTTGTTCTTCATTGCCTGATCATTCAACTTGGTGAATTCAAAAGAAGAAATGAGTGAGATTTGATGATTTCCTCAAGTTTCAATTGATTGAATTAGGGTGTGCAAACACTACCAAAACCGTGCGGCGTTAATATTCCCTATCCCGCAAATAGGGATCCGTGTTTTAATGAGTTTTTTGAACTGTCTTGTGTCGCCACTTCCAGATCTTGACTTATTTACGAGTTTACTCGACTTTGCCGCTTTTGATGCGAATTCTCCTGCTGGAATAATAAATGTCCCTGGTACTCGCGAACGCGATAACGGCTTGGCAACCCTAATTTGTTGCTGATAATCTTTGCATTGGGCTCTCTGATGGCCGCGCCAGGTCGAAGAACCGCCGATTTGGGACTTCATTTTTATGCAGTCATTCACGGTTATCGGCTTGCTGATTATTTTGGACGCTTTATGGCTAATCGCCTAATCAAGCATGCACGCTGTGACGCTAGTTAGTAGGTGAAAGTGATCTAGTTTATTCGAAAATTGGGGCTAGTAAAACATCTCCAATAGCCGTGATCGTCTAGTGGTTAGGACCCTACGTTGTGGCCGTAGTAACCCAGGTTCGAATCCTGGTCACGGCAGTGTTCAAAACGCTGTCACGGTGGAGACTTTTTTTGGAAATCTCCAATTTGTTCGTTGTAAGAAAGGCACTGATCCATAATCCCGAAAATTCGACAGTAAATTCCCCAAAATGTTAATCCCGCCTGAATATTGGGGAGAACAACACAAAGCAGTAACAAAGCTTGAGGGCATATTAAACTGATTTTGGCTATTTTTGGTTTTTACTAGTCGGGAATCTGCCGAAAATTTGCGTCATTTGTCCATTTTTGCCTTGTCTCCCGTTATTGCTCATTCCTCTACACATAGGACAGTTATCGGAGTGCGGATTTCAGAAATGAATAGAAGAAGCTTGCTTTAACATTCGTTGTAAAGTTAGTTCTTTTCGACCAAGTGGTTGATTTTTTATAAAGTCGGGAATCTTTGGAAGATTGCCTCATTTGTCCATTTTTGCTTTATCTCCCGTTATTGTTCATTCCTCAACAAATAGGAGAGGTATTGGAGGGCGGAGCTCATAAATCTATAGAAGAAGGTTTATATAAGATTCGTTGTCAATTTAGTTCTTTTTGGCAAAGTGGTTGATTTTTTATAAAATTAGGAATCTTCCGAAGATTTGCGTTATTTGTCCATTTTTGCATTGTCTCCCGTTATTGCTCATTCCTCTACACATAGGACAGTTATCGGAGTGCGGATTTCAGAAATGAATAGAAGAAGCTTGCTTTAACATTCGTTGTAAAGTTAGTTCTTTTCGACCAAGTGGTTGATTTTTTATAAAGTCGGGAATCTTTGGAAGATTGCCTCATTTGTCCATTTTTGCTTTATCTCCCGTTATTGTTCATTCCTCAACAAATAGGAGAGGTATTGGAGGGCGGAGCTCATAAATCTATAGAAGAAGGTTTATATAAGATTCGTTGTCAATTTAGTTCTTTTTGGCAAAGTGGTTGATTTTTTATAAAATTAGGAATCTTCCGAAGATTTGCGTTATTTGTCCATTTTTGCATTGTCTCCCGTTATTGCTCATTCCTCTACACATAGGCCAGGTATCGGAGTACGGATTTCAGAAATGAATAGAAGAAGCTCTATTTAAGATTCGTTGTGAATTTAGTTCTCTTCGGCCAAGTGGTTGAATTTTATAAAGTCGGGAATCTTCCGAAAATTTGCGTCATTCGTCCATTTTTGCATTGTCTTCCGTTATTGTTCATCTCTCTACATATAGGACAGATATCGGAGGGCGGAGCTCAGAAATGAATAGAAGGAGCTTTATTTAAAATTTCTTGTTAATTTAGTTCTTTTSGGCCCAGTGGTTGATTTTTTATAGTCACGAATCTTTCAAAAATTTGCGTAATTTGTCAATTTTTGCATTGTCTCCCGTTATTGCCCATTTCTCTACACATAGGACAGTTATCGGAGTGCGGATTTCAGAAATGAATAGAAAAAGCTCGCTTTAAGATTCGTTGTAAATTTAGTTCTTTTCGACCAAGTGGTTGATTTTTTATAAAGTCGGGAATTGTTGGAAGATTTGCCTCATTTATCCATTTTTGATTTATCTCCCGTTATTGTTCATTCCTCAACAAATAGGAGAGGTATCGGAGGGCGGAGCTCATAAAAGTATAGAAGAATGTTTATATAAGATTCGTTGTGAATTTAGTTCTTTTCGGCCAAGTGGTTGATTTTTTATAAAGTTAGGAATCTTCCGAAAATTTGCGTCATTTGACCATTTTTGCATTGTCTTCCGTTATTGTTCATCTCTCTACATATAGGACAGCTATCGGAGGGCGGAGCTCAGAAATGAATAGAAGAAGCTCTATTTAAGATTCGTTGTGACTTCAGTTCTTTTCGGCCAAGTGGTTGAATTTTCATAAAGTCGGGAATCTTCCGAAAATTTGCGTCATTTGTCCATTTTTGCATTGTCTTCCGTTATTGTTCATCTCTCTACATAAAGGGCAGATATCGGAGGGCGGAGCTCAGAAATGAATAGAAGAAGCTTTATTTAAAATTCCTTGTGAATTTAGTTCTTTTCGGCCCAGTGGTTGATTTTTTATAGTCACGAATCTTTCGAAAATTTGCGTAATTTGTCAATTTTTGCATTGTCTCCCGTTATTGCTCATTCCTCTCCACATAGGACAGTTATCGGAGTGCGGATTTCAGACATCAATAGAAGAAGCTTGATTTAAGATTCGTTGTGAATTTAGTTCGTTTCGACCAAGTGGTTGATTTTTTATAGTCGTGAACCTTCCGAAAATTTGCGTCATTGGTCCATTTTTGCATCATCTCGCATTATGGGTCATTCCTCCACATCCAGGCTAGATATCGGGATACAAACAAGATACTCTCGTCTCTCTCAAGAAC